TATTAATGACTTGGCTGGATTCCTCTACAGAGACAGTAGGTGCCACAATACGGTTAATGTACAACTCATTGTGATGTCAGTGTAACATTGAGTCAGATGGTGGCAGTTAGCTCACCTCTTGTGTCGGTGCCTTGTTCTCCGAGCTCATTAACGTGCAGTACCCTGCAGTCTCTCTGGTAGCTTTAGATTTCCAAAGGGGGTGTCAAAAACCCCTGGACATGTTCCTCTACGTGGTAGGTACTGCAGTCATGGATCCCTGTGCTGGGGCTTGGGAATGTTGAAATGCTACTTATTGAGGGCATGTGTGAGCCTGTCTTTAACCACAAATTGGTTCTCAACCATGACTGACTGAAGCTGTGATGTGCTGGCTACTGAATTTTAATGTCTCTGGTCTAACGATATGGACATTTTTGAGCAGTTTCTGTCGGAGTGGACCATCCATCAGTAATCTGTTACCTCACACCATGTCTGAAGCACTCTGGATTAATGTCTGTTTCAATGCCATAAAATTATTGACACCAAAGAGAGGAGATGTTAGTGCAGGATTTCCAATCTAGCCTCATTATTAGCTCCGATTCAGCACTCTATAATTTAATAACAGACAATTAAGACACAGTAAAACTCCCCGGACCAGAACAGCGTGGGGTTAGATACAGAGTAAAGCTCCTCTACATTTTCCCTTCAAACACACCCCAGTCCAGTACAGCATGGGGTTAGAGTCATAGAGTAATACAGCATGGAAACAGGCTCTTCAGCCCAAACTGGACCGTGCTGACCATGGTGCCCACTCAGCTAGTTCCAATTGCCTGCATTTGGGTTAGATTGCAAGTAAAGCTCCTTCTATACTGTCCCCCTGAAACATTTCAAGGACAGGGACAGCACAGGGTTAGATACAGAGCTGCTTTTCTGGGGCCCCCTAACTGTTCCTTGTGTCTTGTGTTTTGACATTTCTGCCCATCAGCTGGTGTTTCACTTGGTAATGAGGGAATTCAATAATCCAGTCACTTGCACTGCTGTTGTTCAACAGCCTGACCTACTAAATGGTCAAAGCTTTAAACTGACTAGTCCTTGAATTGGAGCAGAATGATGAAATGCTTGCCGATTGTAGCCTTGCCATTGCCAAAGGGCTGTCAGGCATGTTTCCTCTTGCTAGTCACTGTCTTGTAGCTGCCTCAACTACTCCTCAGTAGACACAACTAGCAAGTAGCTCAGAGTCAGAACAAATTTGCTTTGATGAAAATGGAAAAATTTTATTGCAGCTTTTTGTCTTGTACTCATCAGGAGACCATATTTGCAAGTATATCAATTCCACAGGAAAACCCACTTTTAATCTGCATGAAAGGAGAATGCTGATTGGCAACATCACTTCCAATCAAGCTAATTGCTATAGAGAATGCACCAATTAATGACGATTAGCAGGTGTTTAAATTCATTCATGGGATATGGGCATCTCTGGCTGTGCAGCAATTATTGCCCGTCCCTAGTTGCCCCTTGAGAAAGCGGTAGTGAGCTGCCTCTTGAACTGCTGCAATCCATGTGCTGTAGATAGGTCCACAGTGCCCCGAGAGACGAAATTCCAGGATTTTGACCCAGCGTCAGTGAAGGAACGGTGATATATTTCAAGTCATGATGGTGAGTGGCTTGGCGGGGAGCTTGCAAGTGGTGGTGTACCCATATATCTGCTGCCCTTGCCCTCTTAGATGGAAGGTGCTGTCTAAGGCTCTTTGGTGAATTTCTGCAGAGCATCTTGTAGACAGTACACACTGCTGCTACTGAGCGTCGGTGGTGGAGGGAGTGAATGCTTGTGGATGTAATGCCAATCAAGCGGGCTGATTTGTCCTGGATAGTGTCAAGCTTCTTGAGTGTTGTTGGAGCTGCAGTCATCCAGGCAAGTGGGGAGTATTCCATCACATTCCTGACTTGTGCCTTGTAGATGGTGGACAGGCTTTGAGGAGTCAGGAGGTGAGTTACTCGCTGCAGTATTCCCAGCTTCTGATCTACTCTTGTAGCCACTGGGTTTATGTGGTGAGTCCAATTAAGTCTCTGGTCAATGGTAACCCTCAGGATGTTGACAGTGGGGGATTCAGTGATGGTAACACCATTGAATGTCAAGGGGTGGTGGTAAGATTGTCTCTTATTGAAGATGGTCATTGCCTGGCATTTGTGTGACATGAATGTCACTTGCCCCTTGTCAGCCTAAGCCTGGATATTGTCCAGACCTTGTTGGATTCAAACATGGACTGCTTAGGTAGCTGCAGAGTCGTGAATGATGCTTAACATTGTGCAGTCATCGGTGACTATCCCCACTTCAGACCTTATGATGGAGGGAAGAAGTGTCACCTGTTGCTGAAAGATATGAGATCCCTTTAACCTTCCAGGGTAAACTAACGCAGACTGGAATATGAAAAAACAAAGTATTCACCAGTCTGGCAGCATTTGTGACGAGAGAGACAGAGTTAACATTTCAAGTCCAGTGACCTCCTTTCAGAACACAAGAAGGGTCACTGGACTTGAAAAGTTAAAACCCTGTTTTTCTCTTCAGACCTGCTGAGTTTCTCTAGAATTTTGTTTTGTTTTGTTTCATATTTCCAGCATCTCTGGTTTTTTTAATCTTGAATTAGACTGGGTCCTTTTCAGGACTAAATGTGACCACCTTAGGGCCTTTCATGAGTTTGTGCAGTGTACAGTGAGGAGTGATCTGACCAGAATCGCCATGATCCCACAGGATGGCTTCTCCAGCACCAAGATACAGGGTGAAAAATCGGCCTGGGCCACAGTTTGGAGAGTCTGATAAGACCAATCTTATAGCACGTCAAATTGTTGGAATCCTGATGTGTTTACTGACCAGTGAAGGTAGGTTTGTGGGAGACAGTAGGAGAGAACAATGGAGGGTTTTTTTTTTCAGAAACTAGATTAGCCATATAAATGAATTGAGTACAAGAGCAGGGAGAAGCTAGGAATACTGGGGCAAGTAACTCACCTCCTGATTCCTGAAAGCCTGTCCACCATCTGCAAGGCACAAGTCAGGAGTGTGATGGAATATTCCCCACTTGCCTGGATGAGTGCAGCTCCAACAACACTCAAGAAACTTGACACCATCCAGGACAAGCAGCCCACTTGGTTGGTACCACATCCACTCCATGCACCCCTGATGCTCAGTAGCAGCAGTGTGTACTATCTACTGGACTGCAGAAACTCACCAAAGATCCTTCGGCAGCACCTTCCAAACCCATGACCACTTCCATCTAGAAGGACAAGGGCAGCAGATACATGGGAACACCACCACCTCCAAGTTCTCCTCCAAGCCACTCACCATCCTGTTCCTTTCCTGTCACTGGGTCAAAATCCTGGAATTCCAAAGGACATTGTGGGTCAACCCACGGCACAAGGACTGCAGTGGTTCAGGAAGACAAAAGTTCCCTCCTAAACTATGGACCCAATGGGAATCTCTGCCCACGTTGATTGCCATTCCGATGAATAGCTTCTGTTTCCGGAAGCTGGTTCCAGACACAAACCCTGGGATACATGTCACAGCAAAAAGAAATGACAGGTGACGTCCGTCCTGACTTGTTTTCTTTTACATTTCAAAACAAATTTTTATGAAAATAAAAATGGAAAATTCACAAATTGTGTGCTCCTTTGCAAAGAAAGTTGAACAACGTTTCATTCTTCACTGCATCTTGCTTCCAGTCGGTGGCCAGTGGTGTTCTGCAGGGATCTGTTCTGGGGCCTCTGCTCTTTGTGATCTTTATAAATGACTTGGATGAGGAAGTGGAGGGGTGGGTTAGTAAGTTTGCCGATGATACGAAGGTTGGTGGAGTTGTAGACAGTGTGGAGGGCTGTTGTAGGTTGCAATGGGACATTGACAGGATGCAGAGCTGGGCAAAGAAGTGGCAGATGGAATCCAACCCAGAAAAGTGTGAAGTGATTCATTTTGGAAGGTCGAATTTGAATGCAGAATACAGGGTTGATGGCAGGATTGTCGGCCGTGTGGAGGAACAAAGGGATCTTGGTGTCCATGTCCGTAGATCCCTCAAAGTTGCGACCCAAGTTGATAGGGTTGTAAAGAAGGTGTATGGTGTGTTGGCTTTCATTGGCAGGGGAATTGAGTTTAAGAGCCATGAGGTTATGCTGCAGCTCTATAAAACCCTGGTTAGACCACACTTGGAATATTGTGTTCAGTTGTGGTCACCTCATAGGAAGGATGTGGAAGCTTGAGAGAGGGGGCAGAGGAGATTTACCAGGATGCTGCCTGGACTGGAGGACAGGTCTTATGAGGAAAGGTTGAGGAGGCTAGGGCTTTTTTCATTGGAGCGAAGAAGGATGAGAGGTGACTTGATAGAGGTTTACAAGGTGATGAGAGGCATAGATAGAGTAGATAGTCAGAAACTTTTTCCCAGGGTGGAAATGACTATTACGAGGGGGCAGAATTTTAAGGTGATTGGAGGAAGGTATAGGGGAGATGTCAGAGGTAGGTTCTTTGCACAGAGAGTGATGGGTGTGTGGAGTGCACTGCCGGCAGTTGTAGTGGAGTCAGATACTTTGGAGACTTTCAAACGACTCTTGGATAAGCGCATGGAGGATAGTAAAATGTAGGGTATGCAGGGTAGTTTGATCTTAGTATGATAATAGGTCGGCACAACATTGTGGGCTGAAGGGCCTATACTGTGCTGTACTGTTCTATGTTGTTACATGTATAATACCATTTTAAAAATTGATGGACCATTCTTCATGTTACATTTCCTGCGTGTTGCCTTGTCAATGGTGGACAGGCACTGGAGAGTCAGGAGGTGAGTTACTGGCTGTGGAATACTACTGGACTATGAGCAGACTTGCCAACTCTTGGTTGATCGTGCTGTGTGTTCAATACATTGGAAGGGATTGAGAGACACAGTAAGATATTCTGATTACACTCTCACTCTCACCCTTACTCTTTCTCTCATACTTTCTATCTCACGTGCTCTCTCACTCAGACACTTTCTCTCTTCTCCCCTCCACAGGGCATGAGCAAACCCTTCTCTGAGGTTATCAAAGCAAATATCGGAGATGCACACGCCATGGGACAGAAGCCAATCACCTTCATCCGACAGGTACGTTATTGTTCATAGTGGATGGGAAATTGTTTAAGGTTAGTGTTTGAGAGCAGGGGGAAAGTGAACATACAGCATTTTTGAAGCTGTACAGTTTCCACAATTGGGTTATTTCCCTGTCAAGCTCTGTATATTCACCGGTATCTCTGACCTAGCACTAACCAATTCTTACTCTTTTTCAATCTGATGATGTTGGTGGGACATTTTACTTCCACGTGACCAATTGGTATCACAGGCACCAACTCAACAATCTGGTGAACATTGCTGCTGAAGTCCAGCTTTTTCCTTCCCTGCTTTACTGTCAATAATCCCTTTGTCTGCCTTCTCTTCTCGTTCTGTCACTACTCTCGCTCTCGCTCTCACACACACTCTCACTCTCTTTATCTGGGCTCCATCTCCAACTATCTGCTCAGCTCTTTCCCACACACTCACCCGCTGCCATCAGAGTAAATAGCTTCTTTTCCTAGTTGCTATCAGTTCTGAAGAAGGGTCACCGGATTCAAAATGTTAATGCTCTTTTTCTCTCTCCATGTTTGCTGCCAGACCTGCTGAGTTTCTCCAGCAATTTCTTTTTCTGTTTTCAGATTTCCACCGTCCACAGTTCTTTGTTGTATTTGAGATGTTCAATTTATCTCTCTGATTACAATTCAAGACACAGCAGATTTCCTCATGAACAGAAAATAACCATTTATTGTAATGCACTTATCTTGACTACTACAATTTTATTGAATTAGAGTTCATTTTTTAAAATCTCTTGTTTTTGTTTCATCTCCTCAAACTCCTAAAGAGAAGGGAGAAGGACGTTTTCTGTTTTCTGGAATGTTCTGGCTTCAGTCGTGTCACCAGTCTGTAGCAAATGGTGGCATGACCAATCTGAGGGCTGTTGTACGGCAGGTTTTCCATAACCTGGTGCCACTCAGATTCATCAATGTAAGAGTCTAGTTGCTTCAATAGCAACGTTGCCTTCTACAGCTAAGGACAATTAGAGATGGGAAAATAAATGCAGGTCCAGCCAGCAATGCCTACATCTGATTAATGCAGTTTTTAAAAAAGTATGCCCTTGATTTTTTCCAAATTGCAAACCTCTTCTGGTATTTTAGATCTATAACAGTGCCTGATTTCGATTCTTCTAGTTTCTAGTTCAAAAAAGTCAAATATGTCAACTGCTTAGATGTGATTCTAATTCTGGAAATCATTAGTTCAATAATTCAGACTGTGCTAAGAATTACAAGAAAGAAACCAGTTTAAGGTTGGAGATAGTAAGAACTGCCGATGCTGGAGTCTGACATAACACAGTGTGGGGCTGGAGGAACACAGCAGGCCAGGCAGCATCAGTGGAATCAGGGTCGGGACCCTTCTTCAGAAAAAGTTTAAAAACCAGTTTTTGTCAGGCTTAGCGTGATGCAGTTGCATATGCTATAGGCTAGTTTATTAACACACAGGGCACTGTGGGGAAAAGGACTTTGCACAAACATTACACAAAAAAGCAGTCATGAAAACTATTGATCTCTGCTGCATTCCCATAGCAACCCCCTGACCAATCTACTGACCTGATCTGAGAACTCCAATTGACAGTCACCTGTTCCTGCTGCATCTCCATGTTAACAAAGGCCCATCCAATTAGCACGCTGTTCCCATGCTGTATAGATTGGTGTTCCTATCTCCAAGACTGTTTTTTGCATTCTTGTCCTGATTGGTTTTGCTAAAATGAGACAAGAAGTTGAAGCTTTTCCTCCTGAACCAATCCATTTCTAAATTTTTAGTTCAGATAAAAGGTCATTGGCCTGAAACACTTACTCAGCGTCTCTCTCCACTGCCAGACCTGCTGACTATGCTGTGAGCTTTCTGTTTTTATTTCAGATTTCCAGCATCTACAGCATTTTGTTTTATATAAATGCATGTTATTGTTGTCCCGGTTGATGCATTACCCAGATCTCCTGTCTCCCAGGTTCTAGCTATCTGTACATATCCAAACCTTATCTGTGACCACAGTGTGCCTGAAGATGCCAAAAGCAGAGCAAAGAGAATTTTAGATGCATGTGGAGGAAAGACGATTGGTAAGATTAATTTTTCAACAACAACAAACCTTTCTCTCATATTGTCCTCCTCGCTAAAATTCACGTGAAAATGCATGGAATCAGCGATATTTTTAAAGCTGTCACAAAAACCATCTTCTTCTTATCTGTTAGAATCTACAGGAGGGTTCTGAAACATGGAGCTAATATTTTCAATGGAAGTACGAAAGATGTGAAATGACGTGATGCTGTTAGATTGTAAATGCATTAATCAATATATCACTGTCCCTCATTCCCCTCTCAGCTCTTTCGCTCTCTCTACACACTCCCCTGCTGCTTTCCAACTTTTTCACTCTGTTTCACTTCCTTTTTTCTCATCGCCACTTACTCACTATCCCCATTTCCCTGTCATTAACATTCCTCCTCTTACTCCTGTCTCCCATGTTCTTTTCTCTTGGTCTCTCTCTCTCTCTCCCTCACCCTCTCTCTACCCATTTTCTCTGCCAACACGTCTCATCTCATATCCTTCTTCCCCTCAGCCTGTCCTTACCTTCTCTGCTCTCTTTCTCCCTCTTCCCTTCTCTGTGTACCTCTTTACTATTTCTACCAAACCCCACCCCTCTTGTAGAAGCTGTTCCCACCTGGTGTATGGGGAACGAGTCACTCTGAGGTAGGTTTGTGGCAAGGTCGAGAAAGCTGTCTCACACTGGAGTTTCTCTCTTCTTATCTAGATCTAATGTACTCTCCGAGACAAATCAATAATCAGTCGATCGCTATCAATTATTCCTGAACTAGGGGGAGAAAGATAAACCCTAGTTTGAAAGTATCAGTGAACCCTAAACCCTGGAATGGGAGGCCGTGAATAGTTTGGGGAGGTATCAAAAAGGGATTAACCTGTGTTGAAAATACTCATTGAGTTGAGAGAACTGGGATAATTCTCCATGAACCAGAGAAAGTTGAGAAGATTTAACAAAGATATTTGAAATGGTGAAGGGTTTGGATAGATTATTATGGGGAACTTGTCACAGTAGCAGGAGGCTTGATAATTGGGAAAAGAACTAGCGATGACAAGAGGAAATGTTTGTTTAGATTTGAAGTTGTGATCTAGAATGTGTTGTCTGAGAGGGTGGGGCAAGCAGATAGATATAGACATAGACATAGACATAGACATAGTGTTAAGAGCTTAGATGTGTACAGGAGAACTTTTTAGGCCAATATGTAGAGGATTCAACAAGGGACAGAGCTGTTCTGGACCTAATTCTGGGAAATGAAGCTGATTGGTGGTTGAAGTGGTAGTGAGGGAGCATTTTAGTGATAGCGATCACAATGTGATACAATTTAAGCTTCTTACGGACAAAGAAATAGACAAGAAGCAAAACTTTGATTGGGGAGAGCAGATTTCAGTAAGATAAGGTAGGATTTGCCCAAGGTAGACTGGGAACAGCTACTAGTGGGGAAATCTATAGAAGAGCAGTGGGAGGCTTTTCACAAAGGAAATAGGAGGGTACAGGCGCAGCATGTTCCCGCAAGGGTAATTGGAAGGAGTAACGAGCCCAGAGAACCATGGATAACCAGAGATATTCAGGATACAATGAGAAGGACAAGAGGGACCTTTAGCAGGTACAAGGGGAACAAATTAGCGGAGGCATTAGTGGAGTACAGAAAGTGCAGGGTGGAAAGTAAGTAGGAAAACAAAGAGGGGATATGAGAAAATTCTGGCTGGTGAATATAGGGAAAATCCCAAGATATTCTGTGAGTATATCTATTGGAAGAGGATAACCAGGGAAAGAGTGGGACCCATAATGGACCAAGGAGACAATCTGTGGGTAGAGCCAGAGGACATTGGTGGAGTATTGAACAAATACTTGGCATCTGTCTTCACCCAATGGAATGAGGATGAAGGTATGGAACCCAGGGGGAGACACTGGGAGGTGCTTGAGCAAATTGACACAGGGAAGGACAAGGTGTTGGCAGGCTTGAAAACGGACAGATATCCAGGTCTGGATGAGTAATGTCCCAGGCTACTGTGGGAGGCAAGGGAGGAGATTGCAGGGACACCGATCCTCTCTGGCCACGGGAGGTGCCAGAGGAGTGGAGAACAGCCAATGTGGTTGTAATATTTAGGAAGGGTTGTAGAGATAAGCCACAGAACTACAGACCAGTGAGTCTCACGTCAGTGGTAGGGAAACTATTGGAGAAAATTCTGAAGGAGAGCATCTATCTCCACTTGGAGAGGCAAGGCTTGATCAGAGATAGTCAGAGGGAGGTCATGCCTAACAAATCTGATTGAATTTTTTTGAGGAGGTGACTAGGTGTGTAGATGAGAGTAGTGTAGTTGAAAGCCTTTGACAAGGTCCCCCCTAAGAGACTTATTAAGAAAGCAAATGCACATGGGATATAGGGTCATTTGATAAAGTAGATTCCAACTTGGCTCAGTTGTAGGAGATAGAGTGTGCTGGCAGAAGGTTGCTTTAGTCACTGGAAACCAGTGTCCAGTAGCAAAACATAGGATCTTGCTAGGTCCCCTGTTATTTGTCATTTATATAAATGACATAGATAACTCGGTGGGGGGGTGGGGTTTGGGTTCGTAACTTTGTGGATAACACAAAGATTGGTCAGGTGGTGAACGATAAAGTTGAGTTTCTTGGGCTACAAGAAGATATAAAGGGATGGTCAAATGGCAGATAAGTGGCAGATGGAATTTAACCCTGAAAAGTGTGAGGTGGTATACTTTTTGGAAGGAGTAACTTGACAAGAAAGTATTCAATGTTGCCTGGAAGGATGGTACAGGCGAGTTGCCTCACACCTTTTAAGAAGTGCCGCTTGAGCACTTGCATGTCATAACATTAAAGGATATGGGCAAAGCCCTGGTAAACAGGATTAGGTTGAAGGTCAGATGTTTCTCTTGTTTCAGTGCAGACTTAATGGGCCAAGGGGCCCCTTCTGCTCTGTGTGATTTTGTGATTCTTTGATTCAAGAGGAACTTTCAAATGAGAATGGGAGAACTGTGTGAATAGGGAAATACTTAGTGGGTTAGAGGGAAAGAGGGGAGAGTGGGACAAACAGAATATATTTTTTCAAAGAGTCAACACAGGCTTGAGGACTCAAATGGTTCCCATCTGATTGTAAAAGTCATTAAATGGTGACAGAGAGCATGGGCAGAGGTTAAATGGAGTAGATTTGTAGCTCGGGTTGTGGGTGTTGAGGTTGGTTGGCTTGCCGGGCTGGTTTGTTGTTCCGCAGACATTTCGATGTTCATGTACTCTTGCTGTTATCGGACATCGGACAAAACAGGAAGGAAACTAACAACAAGAGTACATGAACACCAACTGGCTACAAAAAGACACGACCAATACTCCCTCATCTCAATCCACATGGACAAGGAGAACCACGACTTCGATGGGACAGTACCAAGATCCTGGGACAGACTAGGCAGAGACAAGCACGGGAATTCCTGGAAGCATGGCACTCCAGAAGCACACTATTAATAAACACATTGAACTCGACCCCATATACATTCCACTACGGAGGAAACCTGGAAGTGAGGCAATCCATCGCAATGGACCCCAGAGTTTAAAAGCCAGGCGGGAAAACACACCGACGCTTCATTAGACGCTGCACTGAGGATGTTACCAAGCACGGTAATGAAACGTCTGCGGAACAACAAACCAGCTCGGCGAGCCAACCAACCTCAACAAGAGAGGTTAAATATTAAAGAAAGGCACAAGAAAAAGTGTGCAGCTGGAGGAGAACAGCAGGTCAGGCTGCATCAGAGGAGCAGGAAAGTCAACGTCTCGGGTCAGGACCCTTCAATGGAACCTACCTGAAACATCGACTTTCCTGCTCCTCTGATGCTGCCTGGCCTGCTGTGTTCCTCCAGCTCCACACTGTGTTATCTCTGACTCCAGCATCTGCAGTTCTTGCTATCTCACAAGGGAAAGTGGACCTTCAGCTAGCATATTGAGAATTCAACATCCTCTAGAATGTCAAGGGATAAGATGTCAAACAATTAAACAGGAGAAGATCATCTTCACTTTCCTCTTCGGTTCTCCACCTGAAGGCAGGTCTGATCCACAGCACCACAGCCTCCACGGGCCCAGCTCAAACCCACCTGAGGCCAAAATGGCAATCAAACCGTATCTGAGCCCTCGTCTGATCCAGACTAGCTATCCAGCAAACTGAACCTGCACCCTCTAAGAAGGCTGTGCTGTACTGACAATGGGCACATTATAAGCCTATTACAGTCAGGATAGAAATGGCTAAGGCTCCAGCATTGCTTCCATTGCATGGCCAAGTGAGAATCTCTCTTGCTGCCACTGCCTCCTATTGGCGTTGTGGTGGTGTGTTTGACCATGTTATGAACACACCTTCCTTGGTCATTGAGCCCTGAGATGGGACTTGAATCTAGAGGCTGTTACTCTGGGGCATCGACACTGCACGCTGTACTACCAGGGATTTCATAACAAAACACCAGATTGTCAGAGAATAGTGTACAATGCAGGAGGGGGATTAGGTTCCCATAGTAATGATGCTATAGCCTGCAAGATGATCACAGCCCTATTCAACATTCTCAATGTCTTCACCCAGGTGCCTACACGGCTAGTCAGGGTCTGGAGTGTGTTCGACAGAATGTGGCTAAATACATAGAGACTCGAGATGGAGGTATCCCTGCAGACCCAAACAACATCTTCCTCTCAACTGGAGCCAGTGATGCCATTGTGGTGAGTACCGCTCCATCGACATCTCCTGACAATCTTTATAGGCTTACAGAAATACTTTTGAAAGACGGTTTCTTTTGTAATGTTGGGAACATGGCAGCCAATTTGTACACAGCAAGATTCACAATTGGGAATGTAATCATGACCAGATTGTTTGTCTGTCTGTCTGTCTGTTTATAGGCACTCTGTCCTTCGATACGCTGTATTGGAACTGTTTCCCACACCCTGAGCAGATGGCACCTAGGGTTACCAGATAGCAGCTCAGACAGTACCCCTTCCACTCCATGCCAAACCCCCTCAGCTGGCTGCTCCAATTTCAAACCTCTCACCACCCCTCACCTCAATACTTAGAGGGAGAGTTGCTGTAGTTCCTCGTCTTGAATGTCTGAAGCTTTGACCCTGTGTCTCTCTGGGGGAGTAACACGGAGCCCCCATTGGGTCGAATGGAAGGGAGGCAACAGCCTAGAGGTATTATCACTAGACTGTTAATCCAGAGACCCGAATAATGTTCTAGGGGCCCAGGTTCCGATCCCGCCCCGGCAGATGGTGGAATTTGAAGTCAATAAAATATCTGGAATTAAGAGTCTAATGATGACCCATTGTCGATTGTCGGAAAAACCCACCTAGTTCACTAATGCCCTTTAGGGAAGGAAACTGCTGTCCTCACCTGGTCTGGCCCTACACGTGACTCCAGATCCATAGCAATGTGGTTGACTGTGAACTACCCTCTGGATAATTAGGGATGGACAATAAATGTAGCCTGGTCAGCGATGCCCTCATCCTGTGAATAAATTTTTAAAAAAGGGGCAGGAGGAGGGCAATAAGATGTTGATGGGAAGTAATTGTTTTTGGGGAAAGTGTTGAGTTGGATAGAGTTAACACATTGCCAGGCACTGGGGAGAATGGTGAGACAACAAGGTGCAGGGCTGGATGAACACAGCAGGCCAAGCAGCATCATAGGAGCAGAGAGGCTGACGTTTCGGGCCTAGACCCTTCATCAGAAAAGGGGGAGGGGAAGGGGGTTTTGA